TAAGGAGTTTGAAACTGCCAGTCTGTAATTACAAGAGCCAATTTCTTAAAGTAGAGAAACAAAAAAAAATAATGAAAATAAAACAAAATAAAATTTTAGACTATAAGATCAAATTAGTGATTGTCAGAGGGAAAAGTTAAGAAGCTGGGTAAACTGTGCAGTGAAAGAAAGGACTGGATTTCTAATGGTGAACTTAGTATATGCAGAGATTGATTTACAATATACAAACATGAAAAAGAATTATATGTTAATATAATTATGTAATTATGAGATTATACATTATAATGCAATGTTACTTCATACAAAGTTTAAAAAAAATTCTCACATACACACATTTAAATGGTTTCAGTTTCCCTGGAGAGCTATTTATTCATATAATTTGACACAATTTGATTATTTTTGCTTTTGATAGGCTAGGTCTACTGTCATTGCTTCAGATCCACTGTGCTCTAACTTTACTTCAGTATTATTAAGAACAAGAAGTACTTTTATGTTTCTGGATCTTAGCCATTGTCTGGCCCTCTGCTTGCAATAGTGAGTCTGTCTTATTCTGGTAAACTCATGTTCATTTCTTGTAGTTTAAATTCATAGCCTCATCATTGAAATCATCACTCACTGTGATTATTGATTAATATAGCATGTCTTTTAATATCTACTGTATTAAAACACTTATAATTGAACAGTGAAAAATGGGGTTCTGGTCTTTCTTTCCAATGGGATAATCATGTAGCTCTGTTTATTCAGGAAACTTCATGCCTGCTTTGGAATCATCATTATAAGCATCCACTGCTCTCTGTAGAGGTTCATCAAACTACTAAATGACCAAGCAATTCTACAGAAACATTAATTCAAAAGAAAGAAAAAGAAAACATTAATTCAGTAGTGTTTATAGCAATGCTATTCATAAATAGGTGAGATATGACAACAACCCAAATACCCAAAAATAGATGACTGGATCAAGAAGATGTGGTATATATACACAATAGAATACTATTTGGCAATCAAAAAAGATAAATGAATGCCATTTTCAGCAACTGGATGGATCTGGAAGGGATTATGATCAATGAAATAACCCAGAGGGAGAAAAGAAATCAGATGATTTCAGTTATAGGTGGAACATAGGGGGACCAAATAAGGGATCAGGAAAAAAAATAAATAAAAAACTTAACAGGCAGCTATAAATCAAAGACTTTCTGCAGGGGAGGGGAAAGGAGAGGGATCAAAAGGGGAGGGAAGAGCACAGGGACTATGGTGATGTTGCACCAATGAACTGGTGCAACAATTGTGGGAATTTTATGGGGACTAAACCAGAGAGGAGAAAGCAGATATGGTGGTAGAAATGGACAATGATGTAAGATATATATTTATAAACAAATTATTAAAAATTACAGTAGAATCAAAACTTATAAAAGCATCTACTTTCTTCTTAGCAGTGTTCTTAACTCTCAAATATGTTGGCGTTCTAACTCCTAGATTTTGTGAATACAGCCTTATTTAGGTAACAGGCTTTTGAGTACAGTTTCAAATCATCTTCAGAATTTTCCAAATGATATATTTGAACCACACTATCTATTCATTTCCTTGAAAAAATTGAGCCTTTTTTTTTTCAGCCTCAATTCATTTGGCACTTTGTTTCACCAACACATGACGTTTTCAGTCTTTAGTCTAAACCTCACTTTGTCTGAAATAAGTTCCCTGGACTTTTATTTGTGTAATGTCTGCAACTATAAGCTCTCATTATTTTTATTTGTAATAGACTTCACTGTATATAGTTAAACATTTCTTCACGTGTGATAATTTGAAGTTATTTATCTTTTTCATGAGATTACTTTTAATTAAGGCAAGATTATGTCATTTGGGTCACTAAGTGTCCACAAGAGCCTTTGGTGATATTTGGAATATAAAAGGTACATAACAAATATTACACACACACATACACACACACACTACATGAATACACAACAAATACTCAGTAATAACTAGCTATTATTTTGTTAGCTGTATGTAGATGTAGGTAGTCTCCCAAGTTGCTCGACTGATGGGGTTGACAGTCATTCATTCCCTTGGTGTACACTTTATATTCTGGATATCACATGTTTAAACAATTCATATGTCAGAATAGAAAACTAAATACTAGATGGTGTCACTAATATGTGGATTAAAATATAACTATGGCCCTCCCTGGTGGCGCAGCGGGTTAAAGCACAGCACTGAGAAGCTAAAGCCACTTCTGCATGAGTTCGATTACCGCCTGCCCCGGAGGTGACCACATGGCGTGGCAGACCTCTCCTGACCTGCCCGCTGCTCCCCTCAGCAGTGTACTTTGTCGATCTGCCTGTTTTGCTCCCCACTCTGTCTCTGGTGAAGCCTCTCGCCGCCCCTGAGCCTCTGGCCTGTACCCCAGTTCTGTATGTACAAATAAATCTTTTTTAAAAAAAACATAACTACATTAGTGGTCACATAAAGACATGCTGAAAAACTAGCAGTTAATAGCTGACTACAGAACTGAAACAATGAGATAGAGTGTGGGAGCAGAGGAAAGAGAACAAAGAGGGAAGGAAACATAATGGTGGAATATGGGTGAGTTGGTGTTGGGTGCATTATGGTGGTAATACCTGATGAAGGTTAAAATTTTTTTAGAAGTGCAGAAAATTAATATAATAGAAATAATCACTGTTAAGATAGTTAAGGTATGTGTATCCCTATTTGGCATAAACAAATAGGAGTTTAGTGTGAACTTTTCCCCTATGTAGTTAATATATGTAGTTGGAAAAGATGCATGCTATTGTTTCATATAGATATATAGAAATATAACCAATACCATGTCACAGAACTTTAGGTTGCTTTAATGTTTCTCCTTTATAGACATATAAAATTATATTTTGGATGACTGACATCATCCTTATATTTGTGAGAGGCAGTACAACATAGTGCTTAGAGAACATAAGTTCTGGAAGAAGACTGCCTGCTTTGAATTTTTTTAGTACATATTGATTGTGAGTCTTGGGATATCACATAGATTTACTGACTCAGTTTCTTTGTAAAATGGACACAATAATGTCCTTCTTTATGTGGTTCCAATGGAAAGCAAATGTTATACTAAATGTAAACAGTAAAAGCTGTAATACGAGCTAAATAAATATTTTCAGCCTTTGATTCTTAAGAAAATTCTTAAATGTAAATTTGCTGGGCTAAGTTAAATTTTTTTTAAAGGTTTATTTATTTATTTGTACAGAACTGGGGTACAGGCCAGAGATGCAGGGGTGGGTGAGAGGACTCACCAGAGACAGAGGGGGGAGCAGAACAGGCAGATCGACGAAGGACCATGCTGAGGGGAGCAGCAGGTGAGGTTTGCCAGATCTTGTGGATCTCCTCAGGGGCAGGCGGAGATCGAACTCATGTGGAAGTGGCTTTAGCTTCTTAGTGCAGTGCTTTAACCCGCTGCACCACCAGGGAGGGCCGTAAGTTAAATTTTTAATGCTTGTTACATATATTGTCAAATTGCTTCCCAGAAAGTTTGGAAAAATTTTCATTAGCCAAGGATGGATATTTAAAATTATTATTGGCAGCCTTTCTGCACAAATGTCCTTATTTTCCCTTTTTACAGTAAGTCTTTTTGGATATATAAAAATAAATGAACAAAAATATTTAGTATGTGAATATTAAAAATATCAAATGCATAAAATCTAAATAATAGTTTCATCTTTTTTAAATATTTAAATGAATATTTTTTATATGTTTATTGGCAATTTGTGTTCCATGAATTATCTGTTTCCATTGCCCATTTACAATGCCTTATCTGCAGAAGCTTTTCAGAGTAAGGATATTAACAATCTCACTGTCATATATAAGGCAAATATTTTCCTAGTCTATTGTCTGATGGTTTAAGTCTCTGTCTCTCCACCAGCCCTTCACCCCTTGCCCCACCCCTGTATCACTGTTCATTCAGTATTTTGGTTTTTCATAGATATAATAAAATTATGGGTACCCATGAAATAATTCTATTGTTGGTGTCCAGTGTTAAGTTATTCTTTAAATAAACAATGGATTTTTCCTTTTTCATGTATATGTCCTAATTTGAGAATTCTGTACTGGATTATGAAACACATTTACACAGTTAATTAGTTGCTGTCAAAAAGATTTATTGAAGAACAATCAACAAAGTAAAAACAGACCCAATTTAAAAGGCTGCATCAGAAAACAATGGAGATATATGTCCTTGAATCACTAACCAAAAGCATAAGAAGAATGCTGTATCAGTGTTTAAGACCTGAAAAAAATTGAAAAAATTTCAAGAAAGAAATTTTAAAGTAAATTAAATGGAGTAACATGTTTATATACATTATTGTTTCTAACAAATGTTTATTTATAAAATAACTACAATTTTGCCTTATTTTGAATCTAACAGGGGCCATGAATCTTATGTTTATACATTTCTTTATGTAGTTGCCAATTACTGATAGCTGCAATTCTCCTATGAGTGAGCACTGCAAATATATTTTGAATAGAAGACAGTCACTGGTTTCATATTATGAAAAAAAAATCTCTTTAAAAGAGCTTTTTATCTTTTAACACTGTAGTTTATTTTGGAATATGTTTTTAAATTGATTATCTTTTTATCTTTAACTCACACTAAAATATGGTTTTGAGGATTAATTGAATTAAGAGATGTCATTAAAGTAGCAGGAAAAGAGCTTTCTTCATTGCCCTCTTCATATACCAAGGAGGGGGATTAAATAATTTTTATTAAAATAAGTATTATTTAAAAACTCAATAAAACTTTGTGATACTAGAGGGACTCTTGTACTGCTGGGTTTTAAAAGTTTCTAGAAATAGATTCTGCTGCATAACCTCTATTTCTAAATTTCTGCATTTTCTAATACTTGCCTTACATGTCCATATTTTTTCAGTTTTGAGAAGATTTTTGCTTGCTGGATGAACTTAGATGTGAAGTCTAGGTGTCTAGGCTATTGCACTATGTGATAACGCATTTGCTATTTTCAAATCAGGAACTCATCTGGATCTTCTTTGAGTAGCTTAAAGACACCCATTTCGTTTGTAAAAGTCTCTTCCTTGTTGTTTGGGGAATCCAAAACAGGAGTAGTTCCTGAAAATGCCTCAGATTCTGTTCTATTATTTTCAGAAAAATCTTCCATGACATTTGTAGCTGCTGATGCGGGAACAACAAAATCGTATCTGGATTCAACAGCAGTAAGCAAAATGGGATGGCTCTCAGCTTCATTTGCACTCCCTTTCTCCATCCAGACATTGACTCCATCCACAGAGTCTGCATTGGTTAGCAGAGTATCTTCTGAGTTGTCTTTGTCTCTTTCTGCAGTGGTAGTGAGTTCAAACACAGTGATGAGCTTTTCTTCATCAGATTCCATTAGTTGAGGAGCAGTACTGGTGTCCTCTGGAAGACTTAGATCAATTTCAGTTATTTTCTGTTCTGTAAGGATGGTTATGTCTGGAATAGTGAGGTTATTTTCAGTAGTGGTGGGAGATTTTTTAGCCTCAGGAGTAGAGGAATCAGTGATCTGGATAGCCTCATTATCAGCGATATTGGATTTAACTGAAGAACTGCTGTTATCAGTATCAGGTCCATTCTTCTTAGCTGGAAGCACAGGGCTGTTAGTAAAGCTGATGACACTTTCACTTAGTGTGCTCGAGACTTCAGAAGTTATTAACACATTTTTATCTCTTGGATCAACGTTGTCTAAGGGAATATCTTTTTCTGCTGTATTAGTAGAAAAATCTATTAAAGAAACAGTAGCAACTGGTGGTGAGTTATTACCGATTTTCACAGGAATGAGATTTCCAATAATGGAGTCATTAGCCATAGAGTTTGCAGTGCCTGTCAGAGTGGTAATTTCTTTCTCCAGATGGATTGTTGGCTTGATCACATGGGGTTCAACATCATCTTCTGATTTTATTCTTTCCTTTGGAGATGGAAGTTTGTTACCTGTAGTTGTTGAGAAATCACTTTCTGGCCTATAGTCATTTACTGAAGTAATGTGGTCTCCTTCTGAAGTAATAGATGTTTCTGTTCTAGAAATAGTGTTGTCAGCCCCAAAGAAAATGGTTGCTTCAGTTGTTTTACTGTTTTCTTTTGGAGGATGAGAGTAAATATTTGGCAAACCATCTTCAGCCATGGGACAAATTGGCACCATAAACACTTTACAGATCTTCCTTGTGCCCAGTGGTTTCCCTAGGCAGGAGAGTGATGATCATTATAGTGATTGAAGCATTAGTCATCATGGTGATTATTGCATCAACCACAGGGCCAATGGCACTGTCTCTCCTTGGAGGTTGTTTCTGTCCTATTGCAAAAGTATTGATATTAGGTGAAAATACTACAGAGTCCTCTCTGATTATATTATAAAATCAACATTCATAGTTACATGTGTCAATTTCAAGAAATTTGAGTTTCACCATTTTTTTTTGTTGATAAGGCATATGCTTTTCAAAGTGGAACTAGTTATATAGATATACTGTTATGTCACTTTAGACAGATATAACAGAGTCTCTCAGGCATTGTGTGGACTTAGTGTAATTGGAAAAATCCAGTAGTACAATGAACTTCATGAACTAGCATGAGCTCCATGTTGCCTGACTTTCAAGTGAGGAACTGTTTCTTGTTGAGGTGAAGTATCTTCTCTTGACATTCGTGGTATTTAAGTGTCTAAAATAGTTAAAGGCTATTTTGGTAGTAAATGTGGCTGCAGAGAGGGATTGGTAGCAGGGATTTCAGTTAGTTTTCTTGTTCAGAGGAAATTCAAGTTTTCAGTAGGGTAGTCTGATAGTGTCTTTCTAGTTTTCTTCGTCGTAATTCTTCTTTTGAATTAACTTGAACAGTAAGAAAATCAAATCTTGTAGGTTTACTTTCTTTAGTAAATTCTTTTGTAGAGTGTATTTCAACCCTTCTAAAAATTTTCTGGCAGGGAGTTAGTGTCAGAATTCAATCAAAAACAACATCAGCTCGTAGAGTAATGTCACATTGAGAATTCTCACTTCCAAACGGAGTATTTTCTGTGGTCACATTAGTTATACAAGGCATTATCATTTTGTTACCATCCTTAATGGCCAGCTAATTACATGAAAGGAAATTGTAGTCTGAATTCATCTTTTCCTAGTGTTGTTAAAAAGAATAATTTTCAGACTCAAAAACAGTAGCACTGTCCAGTGTACTTGTTTCCATTTCAAAGGCAAAGCTAATCTTTTTAAGATATACCAACCTCAGCATTTACTTATACTTCTGTCAGCCTTTTTCTCCCTTACAGTTTGCTTAGTAATATATATTTTATATGCCCTAAATTTTAAGGTGGTTGGCTTAGTAAATGATTGTGCATTCCTTTAAATAACTACTTAAAGTCTGGTATGAAATGATGCTTTTTTTTTAATTGAAAATTTGTGAATATTTCTCTTTAGTTCCTATGAAGTTCATTTGGCACATTATGACTTTCAAGTATACTTGAAAGTGTCCTTAGATACAGACTTAGAAAATGGTGAAGCCATAAGATGTCCACCACTGAGACTTTCTTTGTATGGAGAATATCTGAGATATTGTCAAGCATACTTAATCACATCAGTGATGAATGTCCAATTAATAGTGGGTTTTATACCTGGTAAAAATGGAACACAATTATTTTGTTTACTAAGTCAAAATTTTCAAAGATAATTATGGTGACATCACAATTTAAAGTTTTACCACAGATGTTTTATCAGAACATCTATAAGGAAAATTCTCACTTCCATTGATTCAGAAGTGAATTGTTTATTTATAAACCATGCTATTGACATTAGGATTAGACTATTAAAAGAAATGGGATCAGCGTCAAAATTCTTGTTTTCCTGTCTAGGCCATATAATATTGGTAATTTTCTTTATATTTAAACTCTGGGAATAAATTCTGGTTTAGGAAGGACCTGAATCTGTTAGAAGGTGCATTAGATACACATATCTTGGGGGCAGATATGAGTCTGCTTATTTATATAAGGAAATTGTTTTATCCTTTAGTTCAAATCTTGCTTGTCTGAGACATTCAGAAATATTGTCATCTGATGTAATAAATACATTGCTAACATATCCTGGAGTGATTTTTGTTTACAAAAGAGAGATGTCATCCAATTGTTTTGAAATGTCTTCCATAGAAATGATATCATCATCAGCAGCCTTCTCTATTTCTCAGAAATATTTGTGCTTGCTGTTCCTTTTCAGAAGTAATGGAAAAAGGAAAATGATAACTTGATAAGATGGGATAATTATTTCCACAGGAGGAAAGTTAATATTTTTTGTAGTGTCTATCTGTAGTGGCAATGGAAATAAATTCAGAATATTTGAAAGTTGCCAAGGTTGTTGTGGAATCAGAAAAAGGAGAACTTAACTTCCCTTGGATGCCATGTAATTCAATTGGAGTGCTTATCTCCTGTGTCAGTGATTTTATTGTGAGAGTTAGACGCAGGTGCTTCTGTAGGAGTAAATGTGGACTCAGCTAAAATGATTCCTTTGAAGTTGGGAGATATCTGAGTTTTGAAAGAAGTGGCATCAAATTTAATAGGGAAAGAATCATTTACATTGTTGTCACACTTGAAAAAAGAATTGGATTTATTGCTACTGGAAAGATTTTACCCATAGCTAGAATGAAAACTGTTGCATTTGTAAAGTGAATTAATTCAAATTTAGCAGTTACATTTTCTTGATCAAAAAGGTTAGCTATTTTTCTTCTCTAATAGACACTGTTTGGAAAATCTTTTCTAAAGTAAAAGGATTACATCCTTGCTGCTTGTGATTTGGGATACAGTATTTTCATCCTCAAATTTATAATTCTCAGAATTATCATTATTCACAAAGAAAAATGAATCATCTACCCCATCTGTGGGATTGTCTGTAAAAGTTGTTGATCTAGTTAGAGGAGCATCCCCAGACAATATATAGGAAGAGATATCAGCTTGAGATATTATGCTCTGCCTTCCTGAAACATCACTCCCACCAGTGGTATCAGCATATTCAATTGCTCTCGCTAATACTTCTGAACTAGGTAATAAAGATTCAGACAAAGAACTATCTGTTATTAAGCCAAAGGTGTCAGGATTTCCAGTTAGGGAGTTAGGAATGAGCATGCCATGGTTTAACAGAGAAAATCCTCTAGAGCTGACATCATCTTTTTCAGGAATAGAGGAAGAAGCATCAGCTTGAGTTGTTATGCTCTGCCTTCCTGAAACATTACCACCACCAATGGTATCAGCATATTCAGTTGGGCCCCCTAATATTTCTGAAGTAGGTAATACAGACCCAAGCAAGGACCTATCTGATGTTAAGCCAGAGGTGTGAGGATTTTCAGCTAGGGAATTAGGAATGAGCATGCCATGGTTCAACAGAAAAGAGAATCCTCTAGAGTTGACATCAGCTTCAGGGATAGAGGAAGAAACATCAGCTTGAGTTGTTATGCTCTGGCTTCCTGAAACATCACCACCACCAATGGTATCAGAATATTTAGTTGCTTTCTCTAATATTTCTGAAGTAGGTAATACAGATCCAAGCAAGGAACTGTCTTTTATTAAGCCAGAGGTGTGAGGACTTTCAGTTAAGGAATTAGGAATGAGCATGTCAGACATTAACAGAGATGAGAATCCTCTAGAGCTAACATCATCTTCAGGAATATAGGAAGAAGAAGCTTGAGTTATTATACGTTGTCTTTCTGAAACATCACCACCACTAGTGGTATCATCATATTCAGTTGCTCTCTCTAATACTTCTGGACTAGGTAATAAAGATTCAGACAATGAATTGTCTAAGAATAAGCTAGAGGTGTCAGAATTTCCAGTTAGGGAGTTAGGAATGAGCATGTCATGGTTCAACAGAGAAG